ATTTATATTTCAGGTGGTTTTCGGAGGCTTTTATTTGAAAATTTTCTGACTGTGCAGACACGTCATTATCCTCTGAATCATTGTTTTCGTCGACTTCTATTATAGAATTTTCTTGTATGGATTCATCTTCGTAATAATTGCCGTATATTTCTTCATACATGTAATTTTGAGGAAATTCGTGGGGATAGTATGATGGATAAATTTCTAATTCGTTTAGGTGGAAACCTGGCTTTGGAGGGGCAGTTCTCATAGGAACATCAGTATCATTAGAAACCGGCTTATTATGCACATTATTATTACTAGGATAATTAAAACGCTGAGAATTACCAAACTGTTGTGGTAACATTGGTTGCATGGGGCTATAGCCCTGGGGTCTAAATCCAAAGTTTGGTCGGTATCCAAAATTAGGTCGGTATCCATACTGAGGTGGGTGATATTGCTTAGGGAAACTCATTTGCTGTTGAGGCTTATTTTGTGGTAAAGGAATCTTCATTTGTCTACTATGGGGAATGCCAAACTTAAATTGAGGTGGTGTTCCGAAATTCTGCCTAAGGGGTTGGTTTGGTGCTAGCTATGCTGTGTTGGCATTGCGAATTTAAACAATGGTTGTTGTACTGGTATACTACTAGACTGTGACTGAGACATATGGCTAGACTGTAACATTTTACTACGCATCTGATATTGGTCATAGAAGTTTACTTCTTCTAGAACTATACTTAGTGCTTCCTCTAGTGTACTGGGTGTTTTCAACCTAACAATGCGCACCATATTTTCAGGTAAATTATATAAGAAAACCTGCAGAGCGGTGTTATTATAAATAATAGTTTTACTTATTTTTAAGTTTTTATCACCAATTTGATTAACCTTCGATAATAGCACTGATTTAACGGATTATATACGACCACAAAAATCTATATAATTCTCATTTTGGTTCTTTAAAGTTTCTAATTCAATGGCTAAACATTCTTCCCTACGTGGGTCACCGAAGTGAGTTAAAAACAATTCCTTGAATTTCGCCCACGTCTTTATATCTTCCCGTTCACTGATAAGCGACGCGGCCTCGCCCGTAAGACGACTAGTAATGATTTGCATTATATATTCATTTTGCACATCGGATGATTTAAAGTTACTTAATATATATTCACATTTACGCAAAAATAAATTTAAATGGCGTTTATCGCCGCTAAATGTTGGTATTATTTTAGTTAATTCATTAGGGATAAGTTTAATTTCCGACATTTTAAAAAATTTATTCACTGGTTTCTATACACAAAAATACAAAAGATAAGAATAAAATATTTAATATAACTCTACTAGTTCCACAAATGTTGTAAGGAAAATTGGAGTATAAGTATTAACCTATTAAGTATTAACGTGTCGAGTAATCTTTAAATTAAGAAACACATGTAGACACAATGAGAACTTAATATGTATAACACTTAATATAATATTACTCTATAATTTCATTGAGCAATATGGAACTTCATATTATGTACGTATTACAATTAATTTAATATTATTTTTAATTTTATTCATTGATAATTATTTATTGCACTTAATACTTTATAAAATTTACGTAAAATTAGTATTTGAAACCCAAATAACAGTCAAAATGGAAAATGTCTAATTCCAAGTTCACTAAGGGATATGAAGGAGGTGAAGAGTCGTACTCACCAGCCCGCAGTGCCCATCATCAGCTTCACGGCTCCTTATTCTTGACGAATTTGTTTTGGTTCGCTGGATCACCACGCTGTATGAATCGCCCGCCGATGCGCGAAAATGGGTAAAATTGTATACGCGATATTCACGAACGGTGGCACAGCTTTTCCGACGATCCTACCGGCTGCGCCAGTCAAGTTGCGGGAGCTGCCGAGAGCTTTTTAAAAACTAATTTAAAACTAATTAAAACTACGTGTTCACAGAGTGAGATGTGAATTTATTCTGACCATCGTCTTTTTACAATTCTTAATCCTAAGTTTACAGTCTACTTAAATTACTACATACTCAGCGTTTATGTATTTATGCTGATGGACGCTTTATACGTATTATGGGTTGTGCTGGTGTAACCATAACTAGATTCACCAATCTTAAGCTCACAAAACACTTTTTTTCTCACTTTATCCAACTTGTAAACTCCTTAGATCGCTACGAACTGTCAAAGTTGTTTAGCAAAGTGTAGTTTGCTAAACAAAAAAACCGGCACGGAGAAAGGGACAATCACACCGCTGTGTCTTATTTATATGCAAGACGTATGCATAAATCTATCCTTTTCGTGTGCGAATGCGAAAAATGGCGTCAAATTGTCTATAGGTTTCTCTGTCTAAGGGCGAGAGCTTGCTACGCATCTATAAGGTTCCGCAAAATTATAAAGGTATCGATACCTACTCGATACAAAGTATCGAAACTCGATACCGATAAAAGTATCGACTCAAAAGTATCGATAGTACTTGGTATCGAGTATAGGCAACGCCACGAGTCATGGAAGTGCGCAGAACCGAAAAATAGGTGTCGCCACGGTGAGGTGTAAGGTACGGAGAAGCGAAACCATAGCAATGGGCGACGCGCTACTCCCAAGTAGTTTCTGCCTGCGTCCCGTTGCCCGCGCATTTTCTTGTGTCGTCTTGTGTACTATAGATATCGAAAGTTTTAGCGACTACCTGTTATAACATTTTAAATTTTTGCGACTATTTTTGTACTTTTAAAAATATTGTTCTATAATATTTTCAAATAGTGTGCAAATATTTATTACTTTATAAATTATTTCGGGACTATTTAAAATAGCGTAATTCGTAGTAATATATTGTATAAAGATGTAAATATATTGTTATTTTCTACAAGATGATTTTTTTTGCATGTAAAATATGATTATAATTAAAGGCTATCGCATAGTATAGTTTAAACAGCAATTACAAATACAAAAATACAAATAAAAATATTTTATAAATATTCTTGTGTACTAAGTGTACATAAAATTCAGAATATTATTTAGAAGCAGTTAAAACCTAACGATGATATATAAATATATCGTTCAGTTTTCGTGGAGACTTTGATGTGTAGTTGTAATGTTGACCTTTGACTTTTTACATATTAAATGCCATAATAAAATTTCATCAGCGTTTACAGTTTTTTTTTATAAAAGATATTGCTCATGCATATGTATTTGCGCCTGTAAAGTGTAAGATTTTAAAACGTGAGTCTTAAATTACGGATATGGCTAAAATATGATTATTTTTTATCTGTTCGAATCTGTTGTTTTATTCTATCGGTTAATTCTAGTACTGCAATTTTGGATCATAATTAATTGGGAATACTGATCAGATTAAATCCAATGAATCCATTTTTTAACTTACTGCTAAGAAAAATCGGGAAGTTATTGTTTTTACTCTATTTTTCGAAAATTGAGTTTTCATCAAATCTAGACGTTTTGAGGTCACAGGAAGCCACCCTAGCAACTTTTCGATGGTGTCTGTATATCTCTCTCTCTCTCTCTTGTGTGTGTGTGTGTGTGTGTGTGTGTGTGTGTGTGTGTTGGTGGTGTGCGTGTGTGTGTGTGTGTGTGTGTGTGTGTGTGTGTGTGTGTCTGTGTGTGCGTGTGTGCATGTGCGCGCGTGCGTGTGGGTGTGCGTGCGCTTGTGTGTGTGTGTGTGTGTGTGTGTGTGTTTTTTTTGGAATAACATTTAAACGGCTTTACAGATCGATTTCAAAAACTGATCAGCTTTTAATCTTAAAAAACCACGTCGATCGCTGGTCCGGCCAAAATTGGTTGATTCGTTCGTGAGATATCGTTAACGAAAAATTTTGAAAAAATTGTTTGTTTTTTAAATTAGTCCGATATTTCATATTCAACGTCATTATTTGCTGAAATTTGGAGTGCTTTGCAATTGAAATTAGCGAGAAATTCCAATGATGGTCCGCAGGGTCAAACAATTTTTTTCAATCTGTAAGTATCTAGAATTACTGTTTCAAAAACACAATAATTTATCATAACTTCCAATCAAATATAGTATTTTATTTGGATATATCAGGTTTTTCCATAGAGTATTTATTTTCGTAAGAACACATCCATTCGGTAATAATCTTATCAGTTATTTAATTTTATTTACATCTGAGTATGTATATAAAATTAAATAATTGATAACATTATTAAATGTTTTTTTTATGTTAGAAGTATTACCGCTAGACTTCATAACTTTATAACAAATTTTTCATTTAGCTGAATTTTGATCAACTTTCCTAAAATATTTCCACACATCACTTTGTCCTCCGCCAGGAGGTGGCATTTTGAAGAAACAAATCAAGGAGAGCCTAAGCACCTAAGTCTGTAAGCTGTTTTCGTTTTAACGACTAAAGAAAATATTGATACATTTCTCAACAAAAATTGTCTTCTACTCTAATTATTAATCATTGACTGTTAGGTAGACTTTACTTAAACTACATAAATAGACAAATGACACACATTTAAATCCAAATATTTTGCGTTATGATTCCATTATTTATCTATTATTTATTCATCAAAATTGCGAGATATTTTACTAAATGTATAAAATGTATTAACCTGGTCCCATATACATTATTCAAACTATTATAGGCTTTTCTTTCAAAATCCTTACTCCATCGAGAGGGATGACACTATATATCGGAAAAGGAAGTACTATCTACCGACTTTTATTATGTATATAATTTAATGAAGTGACAAAAGTGTCGAGTAACTAAGAATCGATACTTTGTACTAATAAAAGTATCGAGTAAAAAATATTAGGCATTGAACTAAAAGTATCGATACTAATTAGGTACTCGATACTTTTGCGGATCCCTACGTAACTATCTATTTATCTATGGCTACTGCCTACTTGTGCTTGTGCCTACTGCAGCTGCTACGAATACCAACGAATGCGATACGATGGTTGATGTTTATAAATTTTACGCGAAAATATTTTTGATAACAATTTAAATATCCCATTGATATATTATTTTGTATCATCTGGATGTGTTTTAGAAATATGGTAGGCCGACATCCGACTATTCAAAATGCAAAATACAAACAGCTGTCTTCTAACTCGGATGCAGACGAAGAAATATTTACAAGTAAACCGAAAGGAAAATGGTCCGATATTTGCGTTCAAAAAAGTATTTTATCATTGGGGCTCATCTTATCATATTTTTCTCTGTCGATCGGCTTAACATTTTATCAAAGATGGCTTTTAAAGGTATGTATTTTTTTAATTTATTAGGTTTTTGGTGTTAGATTAGTCAGATAACCCGTGTTAATGAGAGTAAAATAATGTTACTCGATTGAAAACAAAAAGGTAATTTTCGTACAATGTTTGATCGTTTTTTGTGTGCTTCTATGTATTTCTATTGAATTTACTTAGTTCGCAATATATTTCATCATATTTGAAATACCTATATTATAAACTATAATTACTTACTACCAGTTGTGGAATAAGAAAATCGATTCAGTGTTAGTTAAATTAATAATAATAATATCCTTCAGACCGAATTTCGGTCACGGTGGCTAGCCTCAACAGAGACTAGCCATCGGCGCAGGACAGGATTATAGTGCCCAAGTGTATGCTCAAGCACAGATGCACTCTCTATTGCCTCACTCTCATAATCCGATGTGACGGTAAACCGACACAACTGGAGAGAGATCAGGTACAGGACCAACGGCTTTACGTGCTTTCCGAGGCACAGGGGTGAGACACCGCCAGTAGATATACTGATGATAAACATTGCAGCCGATATTAGTGTTTTAGTATTTTACTGAAAGCTAATAGAATCATAGGTATTATTCATACTATTACACCTAATTTCAGCTGAAATTCTGAAAATAGGCTCCGTCTGGTTGTGTTAGGCTAAACCCTAAATTCTAGACCTTTTTAATACTATTAATATATACAATAGTACAAGGGGACTAACAAGCACAGTTCACCTGATGGTAAGTAAATCCTATGGTTCATATATATTTCTACCAACCGTGCACAGAAAGTTTACTGATGACATCATGACGTCAGGTGTCAATGGTTATTATGATTGACAAAAAGACTTGTTACTAAAATAGTGGTTACAAATGCAATAAATGAATAAAGGCAAAATTATTAGTGAAAAAAATTTTGGAATTTTTATTTAGATTTATTATTGGTGAACCGTTTTGTTTTTTGTTCTAGAAAAACATTAGAATCTTTAAAATAATAACATGTTCACCACGGCAATATAATATCCCTTTACCCATTTTGATAAACAATTACACTAACATATAACGAACAAAAATTTTACAAGAAAACAATGAATAATTTCGGAGCAAGACCAACAAATTTTTAGATGAAATTTTTTTAGACTTTGCTCATGTGATTGCACAACTACTTTATTGACGGTACTAACTAGACCAGCATGGGATGGGATCGTTGGAGATGGGAGGTGTAGTCATCAGCAAATTTTGCTGTGCCTGTCATCAATTAAAATAAAATGCAGAGTGTGGTGCGACCCCAGTTGTGCTGATTGATTTGGGATACGATCATAATATATAATATGTAGTTTCAGTGTGCCTTTACCATGTATAAAATATAACCGCTGGATGTTTTGTAAATATTACAATGATACAATGAGAATGGAAAAGAGAAATATCTATATACATATTTATATACTTATTTATGACATTACAATATTATTGATATTTTATAACAACAATTATTTGTTTTGGACTGTGATCCATGTGGGTTAGTAAAGTAATTTATAAACTAGCATAAACAATACCAATACAAGTAAATTGAAAGTGGTCTGAGAAACTACTTATTACTATGTACCTTTACTTTTATTACATTTTTGACTTAACGATTTTCTGTTATATTCCTCTTTCACACAGCATGTTATTAGATGCTTATAGTTTAACATGTATTTGTATACATGTCAAAGTGTGCAAGAGACCAAAAGCTCGTATGGTTAGCATCGGCACACTCACAACTGATTGCTCCAGCAGACGCACGTACACTATCCCAATGTGCAATTAGACATTTGACCGTGAGTAAAGTCCACTCAACTTCATGAAGAATGCAAGAACTATACCAGTGTGATATGTAATAAATAAAAATGGTTATTTTTTCTAAACTCTACAGGGTTCACAATGCCCCTTCACATAGGGTTAATTTTTTTTAAACAGCTAGCTACATGTCGAAAACATTTAATTACTTAATAATGCTTTTGTTATGTTTTCCATCAATAATGCTTTTTAACACATTTCTTGTAATTTTTAGGATTTCCACTACCCACTTACAGTGGTGATGTACCACCTTGTAATAAAGTGGATACTGTCAGTATTTGTGAGAACAATTTTGTATTTAACTACTGGTGTTCCTCAGTTAGTCCTATCATTTATGACATGCCTGCGGTCAGTTGGTCCTACTGGTTTTGCTAGCGGAATTGATGTGGGCTTTTCAAATTGGGGCCTTGAGTTAGTCACAATTTCTCTTTATACTATGACTAAATCAACCACTATAATATTTATACTCGGATTTGCAATATTTCTTGGACTTGAAAAAAAGGTAAGAATCTATATAAAAAATTGTTGTTAAATTAGTAAGTATTTCTTCAATAATATATAGTGTCTAGTTTCTTCTAATATTTTTTTGTAAAATAGATATTTATGTGGTGAAAACTAAATAATGTAGAGTTCCATCACATTTATATTTAACTTTTATTTTAGAATACTGTTCTATGATATAATAACTGAGGTAAAACATTTATGCCTTTTTTGGTCTCTGAATTCATAAGGCCTTACAAAAATTTAACAAAATTATAAATGTTCTGTATATTACTGATAGTGATAAACTTTTCTATTAAATACTTAATGAACTTTTTGTAATGGTCTATGATAAGTACATGCTGTTAACGTTTTTCTATAATTTTTCTTTAAATTTCAATACTGCTCCGTAATCATCCTGAGTTTAAAGTGACAACTGTCAAAGGTTCTGGAGTAGCAGACTCAAATCTGCAAATGCAGTGTGGGGCGACTTTACTAGATGGATTTATGGATGATATTTACTTGTATGATTTTGTAGATGGGTGGTTGACAAACAATTCACTTGATGGTAAGTGGATTCTAAGACCCATCTATTGATCAAGAACTAAATGTCTGTGAGTTGTCACCTATGAGCAGTAAGGAAGAGTAACTTGTTATCAGTGAAATGCTGCTATTTTAGGCTATTATTTTTTAGGAGTGTGGTCTTTTTCCATTTATACAACTCATTTGTGTTGCAACTGCAATACTATTTATATCTACTACTAAAAAAGTAAGCCTCCTAAAACTATATATGTATTGTAGGGGATGTATTAGAGCATTTTGCAATTTATACAAAAAAAGTAAAAGTAAGTAAATTGTAAAGTAAGGCAGTTTGGTGCAGGTATCTTTATCATTTCTGAGAGTTTGATGCAGGGACATCATGGCCTCGAAATATTTTGACCTATGAAATTGTGATTTTGCATAGCAAAATTTAAACATTTTTTTTACAAAATAAATTAATTAATCCACATATTTGCTTAAACAACAGTAACTAATTATAAATCATAATTATAAATATAAAAACATATTCTTGCTATTTAATGGCTAGTTTATTGATGCCCTTGTCTTTTTTTGTAGATTAATGGTGACAAATGAGCGAGCACACAGTCCAACTGATGATAAGTGGATACTGTGGCCCATGTACACATAAATCTATTGTTGATTAAGAATCATAATGCAAATGCGTTGGCACCTTTGACGACAAAGATGGAATGCCTCGTTTCCAGTAAAAATGGTCTCCAGTTCTCTACACTCACTAAGTATAACTGGGTACTAGGTATAAGAAACACAGCAGCATTGAGCTGCTATTTTATGCTGGTATTCTATGAGATCATGGTACATCCTCGGTCGAGCTGACCCATTTGTGCTACAAGCATAATATAGCTGCAGCATAGCTCTACCATGTAAAATCTAAAGTTTATGTAAATTAAAAAAAAAAGTGGAAGTTCCTTAGAGTAAAGTGTCGTGAATATGGTGGTTAAGGAAGCATGTCTGTTTAGCTCTTCTAATTTGTCAACGTCTGTTGTACAGTATTTGACCGAAAATTGTCATGAAAAAGCAAAGGTAAAGAACAGTTTATCAATAGAGTTTGTTTGGATGCCAGCTTCTTCATCATAATTTGAGTTTTTTGACAATAACGGACAGAAGTGGTAGTAGCAATGGTATGAGATGGAAAAAAGCTATAGTGATTAACACCAACTGTAGTCCACGAAAGTGTCACTCTAAGCTTCTTCGGGCTAATCTTTAGTTTGGGCCACTGTTTGGTTTGGGCACTTGGATCTAACCACTGTGACAAACGCTTGCCATTGGAGTATTGGATCCACTTCTCATCGCAGTTAACTATTTGATTTTAGATCCCTCTCATTAAAACCATTTAAAACCTCTCCCTTATATGCCGATTTAGCAAATTATGCTGTTTCTCTATATCTCTCTGTACGCTTATCGTCAAGCTTCTTTATTTTTCCTATTCAAATTAAAATGATGTAATATTGTTTTCACACTTCCATCAAAAGCCGATGGGCTGTAGTTTGAGAGAGATCCGCTTCCACTAACGCCTTCAGTTCGTCATTATCGTCCTCCGGATGGGCTACGAAGATTTTGTGAGTTCAAAATTTTCCAAGCGATTGATTAATGATTCACAGTACGTTCGGTAGTAGTTACTGTATTGATATTACATGCTTTTGAGACGCGTTGTTTCCACGTCAAAATTTGTTTAATTTGAATTTACGTAATATTCAAAATACAAATTAGCAATTACCAATAATTACCTCTGCTATATATAGAACAGAATAGGAAGGAGAGTTTAATTTTAATCTGTTCAACCGCTTGTTAGAAAACTGAACCAAGGCTCTTAGTGAAACTTTATGATGTAGTTCTACATAAAGATACTTCATTGAAATAGTCATAAAAGAAATAAAAATTATAAAATAAGATGCGGCTACTTTTGTATGGAGGGTATATCTCTGTGTATGAACTTTCCGTCGTAATGCGTTAAATTATCTATAATTGAAAAAATTATATGTTAAAATATAATTTGGACTATTTTAAAAAGTTTTATAACAGTTCTCTCTAAAAAAACTACTTAACGTATTTGAAGTTCACAACAATAAAATTACTCTCCGCGTTTTCTCACACTAGGTAATTATTTTAGGTTATATTAAAAAAAATCGGAATACTACGCGAATAGTTGGAAATTATGTATACTGTACTGTAAATAAAAACTGTAGTCACCATAAAATATTAAATGTTTAACTCGGCACACTTCAATCCATCCACAACTGCTACATTCATACCATACCCTGTATCTACGCCACCGCCATTCTGAAAGGATTTTGAACTGTTATTTATAGCTTAGAGCTGGATTCTTTCATTTTGTCCTCTACCCTCCATATTTTGTATTAACACACTGGTGATGATTGCTGGCGCGATTGGTTTTTGTGTTACCTAATTTATTTTTGTTTCTTATTTACTAAGTATGAACTTGCTCTTTTCTGACTTCTTAACTATTATGAATATTTCGTTTTGTTTTTAGTCTAAGATGCTCAAACAAACATGACCAAAGACGTCTAATTATTTTTGTATTAAATGTAGTATTCTCTTAAGCGAAGTTTGTTTGCTTTATTGCTTTATTGGCATGCTTTACAGGTAGATAAAGATAAAGGAGAGTATTAGTGTAGTTAAGCTTCATTAATCATCGAGCGTGCGTTTTACTGAATTATTTTAATAATGATTGATAATGGTACAACATTTACTGTGCGACGTAAGGTATGTTATTGTTTGCGAAATTTAAAACATAACTATCATATGCGGAGGGGTTATTATAGTGCCATAAGTGCAAGCACAGATACGAGGCATATTAAAATAACAAAGCAACTAGATTAATTTGTCTTCAATAAACTCGAAAAACAAACATATTTACTAGAATCTCGACACCAGTTAATATATAATAATAAAATACACGCGGTGCCTGTTCATTGAGTCGTGGATTATAGTGTTAAATCTTAATTAAAAACAATGACTAAATATTTATGACATCTCATAGCATCTACAGTAAGTTATGGATGAACTTAATACTATTATGTATGCTGAGGTGTAAGGTCTATAAATAGGCTGAACTGTTTCAAACGAGGCAAACATATCAGCTTAGTTCTGGCTTTTTACCGTCATATTACGAAAGGTAGTTTAAAAATATATTGTTTTTTAAAGTCGGGATATTCTAACGTCTATAGCGATTTTTTTAAATAATATGTTAACGATGCTTTTATTTAAGTAAAAATATTTAACATAAGCCAGTTCTTCACTATTTTTAATATCCCATCTGAAGGTGAGTTAAGTAAGATGATGTAGTCGGAAAAGGCAAAGTACACTGATTTAGATTAAAAAAAGTGTAATGACATTTGGGCTGGCTGTGCCTAATTTGAAAACTAAGCGTAAATTATTTCACACCTTTGCTGTTTTCGTAATGAACGACTAAGCAAGCCGTGTGCAAGCCTGTTCGGTTAGAGTTGATAAAAAAGCAGAATTACAAATTGCGTACCGCTAATTATTTTTGCTGATAGATAATAAAAAAGCCACTGCATCGTTCGTCCGCCCGGCTTCGCGCTTGTCAAATTTGCGCCCGCTACTTACGCAATAGATCTACGAAACTATAATAGGCAACATAGGTCTTACGAAAACGTCATTTTCTCGCTCGTTCTAATTTCGATAAAGCATTATTTACATTGTCAAAATTAATTGACTGCCGTTTTATTTTGAAAATTAGGTATGGGGTATCATCAGCAAATAATACTAAACGTGATTGTCCCCTACAAGATAAGGTAAGTCATTAATATAGATTAAGAACAGGAATGGGCCAAGAATCGAGCCCTGAGCAACGCCCATTGCTACTATCGATCCCGATGAACCTTTACCATTGATAATGAATTTATGTGTTCTGTTATTTAAATATTAAATAATAAGTCTAAGCGTAATTTTTTTGACACTTGAATAAGTAAAAATGAGTTAAATTAAAATGGATACAATAATTTAGCTCAATATATAGTGCTCGAGTAAAAATAAGATTTTTTTTTATAGCATTGGGAGAAAAAACGAGCACACAGTCCACCTGATGGTAAGTGGTTGCTGTGGCCCATAGACATCTACATCTATCCTCGATTACGAATCAAAATGCAGATGCGTTCTCACCCGTGAGGACTAAGATGGAATGCCTCGTTTCCAGTAAAAATGGTCTCCGGTTCTCTACACTCACTATATGAAACACAGCAGCATTAAGCTACTATTTGACGCTGGTATTCTGTGAGAGCGTGGTCCTTCCCCGGTCGAATACAACTATACTACTAATATAACTGCAGCATGGCTCTACCACAAGTGAATTATTACTTTTTGTTTCAGTCGTGGTCTCTTGTGGGCATTGTCCTCATGATCGCAGCAGGCCTAATCATGTTTACGTACAAGGCGACGCAGTTTAATCTTCTTGGGTTCTATTTCCTGCTCTTGGCATCGTTCGCGGCCGGACTGCGATGGTCGTTTGCCCAGCTTCTCATGCAGAAGTCGAAGCTTGGCCTCCATAATCCTGTGGACATGGTGTATCATGTGCAACCCTGGATGTTTCTGTCACTACTTCCATTCACTATTATGTTTGAAGGTAGGTGTGTTTCATTGCTACTAACATTCATGTAATATGTTGATGAGAATCTTGGTAGATTTCGCTTAATATGACAATTTCCGAATATTTTGAAAGTTAAATCAACTGTCTAGCATAGTTTAAATATGTTACTCTGCCAATAATAATATGTATGATACTTGTTTATCTCGTTAATAGTTTTTGTTATAAGTTTAAAAGATTAGAGATAGGTTCCGATGACTTGTCGGAAAGCCCTTGAGCGTGAATTTTCTATCTTACCTAATTAGTATCGCCATTGTGTGATAAATAAAACAACGTATATAATCTTTACGTCCACCAGTCGGGCTAGCATGGGTAGGAGACAATATATCCAAGGGGAGAGGATAAAATTTTTATCCCTTGCTCAGTTTTATCCATTTCAAATGGCCGGCGCAGTGAAATATATGGTAGTTTTATTTAATTAAATAAAAATAATAGTATCGGTTTAAAAAGTAAACATCATACTATAGTTTTAGCAAATGTTGATGATTATTTTGGTTTAAATTTTACGTCAGAATGATGTAGAACTTCGGAGATATAGGTGCTTGTATCGAAGCTTTTTCGGTGGTTAATTGAATTATGTGGATTTTTTTTCCTTAAGTGAAAGGCGTATAACTAAAGTATAGGATACTAGGGAGATGAAAATATTTTTTTCTGATAGTTGATATTCAAACGAATCTACAACGTAGAGCTCTTAAATCATGTCTCTCAGAGTTTGGGCCTAAACATGCATCGGGAGAATGATTGTTACTAAATAAATAAATAAGTTATCTAAAATTAAAGCTTATTGTAGTAGAGAAAACGAACTATTTTACCAAGTAATTGTTATTTGAAGCAACGAACGGAAAACATATCATTTCAACGACGAAAACCTTATTTCACGTTTTTTTTTAATACTTCTCTTAAGTTATATTAATGACAAAGTGTATCTACTTATTTTATATTTATTTCATTTTATATTATGTCATGAACGGGCTTATAATACACCTTGTGCTAGTAGATTTGGCAGCCCTTGGTTATCTGTGGTTAAATGATTACACGAAACGAGGACACAGGAGCAATCTATTCTTAACTTAATTTATAAGTAAATATCTATGACAGTGATTATGAATAATAATTTATATGAATATAATTTACAATAAACATTTCTGGTACCTATATAATTTATTTTTAACGTTTCAAAAATGTTTTAGTATAAAGAAAATATTTTAAATATATTTTAATATCAGAATTATGATCAAGTACAATGCCGGTGATTCTAGGTTCTGCTTGCTTCGATTATTTGCTGTCCCTATCGCCTGAGCAACTAGTACCCACTATCCTGAAAGTGTCGGTGGGTGCCACCATAGCATTCGCAATGGAAATCAGCGAGTTTCTAGTCGTCACATACACTTCAAGTCTCACATTATCAATCGCAGGAATATTTAAGGTTTGTTTTATAATTAATTTTTTATCTTGCCTTAAGATTGTTTAGTTTTTAGATAGATTGCATCATCATTACATAATTACAGCCCTTCACAAGTCCACTGTTGAACATAGGCCTCCCCCAAGTAATGTTACAAAGCACGGTCCTGAGCCACCTGCCTCCATCGACTTCCTGCATATCTTACCAGGTCGTCACTCCATCTAGTGGGGGTCGCCCTACACTACGCCTACCGGTACGAGGCTGCCACTCGAGAACCTTTCTTCCCCATCGGTTATCGGTTCTTGTAGCTATATGGCCGGCCCATTGCCACTTCAGCTTACTAATCCGTTGGGCTATGTCGGTCACTCTGGTTTTACTGCGGATATCCTCATTTCTGAGTCTATCACGCATAGCCCTCTATATAGCTCGCTAAGTGACCTTGAGCGTCCTCATACGGTCAGCAGTGAAGGACCACGTCTCAGATCCGTAAGTCATCACTGGAAACACGCACTGGTTATACAATCTAGTTTTCAGAGAGATGTGTCGTATCGACCTCTCGGTCGATGTTGACTTACCTAGTCGGACTATTTGTCCCAGGTAAACGTACTCGTCAGTAACTTCGAGCTTAGTGCTCCCAACAACTACCGGCATGGGTGTGACATGGACATTAATCATGATCTTTGTTTTGTCCATGTTCATCTAATTACCTATCCGTTGGGAGGCACATTTTCCACCACCACCACACATTTTTCACACACACCATTGAGGTCATTGAGCATAGTGCTTAGGTCCTCCAGCGATTCTGCCATAAGGACTATATCGTCGGCAAATCGAAGGTGAGTGATGTACTCGCCATTGATGTTAATACCGTATCCTTTCCAGTCCAGTAGCTTGACAACGTCTTCCAACGCAGCGGTGAAGAGTTTAGGGGATATAACGTCACCCTGTCTTACACCTCTCTGCAGTTGGACAGGTTTCGAACTCTGGTTCTGTACTCGGATAGCCATCGTAGCCCTACTGTACAAACACTTCAGCACTTCGATATACCGACAGTCAACTTGGCACCGCTGAAGAGACTGTAGCACCGCCTAAATTTCGACGGAATCAAAGGCTTTCTCATAGTCCACATACGCCAGGCAAAGTGGCAGATTGTACTCTTCGGTCTTCTGTACAATCTGCCATAGAGTATGTATGTGGTCTATGGTACTGAAGCCTTTTCGGAAACCGGCTTGTTCGGGAGGCTGGAAGTCGTCAAGTCTGCGTGCGAGACGATTTCTAATGACTCGAAAACAGCACGTAGACGCGGCTCAGAAGGGAAATCGGTCTATAGTTCTTCAAGAGCGTTGTCGCCTTTCTTAAAGAACAAGACCACTGTACTTCTGCTCCACGTCTCCGGAGTAGTGCCACCATGGAGGACGGAATTGAAGAGCTTCTGAAGGACCAAGTACCGGTGTTCCACCCGGTTTCAGAAGCTCCGCTGTAATGCCAACCACGCCTGGGGCCCTGCCGTTTTTGAGGTGCTGGAGAGCCATTCTAATCTCGCTTAGACTGACTTCCGAAATATAATCGGAAAACGCGTCAAAGTCGGAACATCCCGATCAGGAGGTGGAGGAAATGTATGAGGATATTTCTAGAGTCATGCGTTCCTCCAAAACTCACTATACGGTGTTAATGGGAGACTTCAACGCAAAACTGGGCTCAAGAAAGAACGGTGAGCTGAAAGTAGGGAAATTTGGGATAGGGCAACGGAACCCAAGGGGCCAGCAGCTGGCCGACTTCATGGAGAAAGAGGGACTTTTTATGATGAACTCTTACTTCCAGAAGCGGCCCCTCAGAAAGTGGACCTGGTCGAGCCCCGACGGTTCGACAAAAAATGAGATTGACTTCATGAACGACCAAACGCCAACTGTTCAGTGATGTCTCAGTGATCGCAAGGGTAAAAACTGGCAGCGATCACCGAATGGTTAGAGGCACACTGAACCTAAACGTTAAGTTGGAGAGGTCTCGTCTAATGAAGTCAACGCTCCGTCCCCCTCGTGCTCTAATCCAGAATCCCGAAACCTTTAAGCTCGAGTTACGTAACCGCTTTCAGTGCCTAGAAGATTGCAATGCAGTGGACGATATGAATGGCAAGCTCGTGGAAACTGTCCATGCGGTCGGAGCTAAGTTTGTAATCGAGTTTTTGTGTCTTCTGCAAGACCCGCCGCAGAATGACACAAAAACTTCGATTACACTCTTAATCTCATGGCTGTTAGACGGGAGATGAGGCTGCAATCGTCAATAGATTTGACAGCATACAGCCAACTGAACAGACATATCTCCAAATGCATGCGGCGAGACTTACGCCACTTTAATACTGCTCGTATTAAAGAAGCGATCGAGCGGAACCAGGGCTCCATAGTCTTTGCCAGAGGTCTTTCTGCCAGAAAGAAACTGTCAAAGCTGAAGACTGAGTGTGGCAGCATCGTTTCCGGAACACCTGAGATTTTGAGTGAGAGGTTCTATGGGAAGCTGTACACATCATCGTTGGAGCCACACGCAAGTGTGAGTAACGATCCAAGAGCAAGTCTTATCCGACACTATTTCGATGATATCCCGGATAGATTGCATGGCTATAGCTAATTCGGCACTCACCTAGCGGTGAGACTGGCCTTTTTCTACTTTCGTTGACTTACATTTTTCAAGTTCAACTGTAGTTTTTGATTATGACGAATGTGTGTCGAGTGGCTGTTTCTTTACAGGATTTGTCTCTTCTTTGTGAATGTTTATTATGAATGTCTATTAAGTTCTGTGTGAATGTTTATTAATCTTTACAGGTTTTGTCTCTTCTTTGTGAATGTTTATTAAAAATGTCTATTAAGTTCTGTGTGAATGTTTATTAATCTTTACAGGTTTTGTCTCTTCTTTGTGAATGTTTATTAAAAATGTCTATTAAGTTCTGTGTGAATGTTTATTAATCTTTACAGGTTTTGTCTCTTCTGTGTGAATGTTTATTAAGAATCAACTAAATAAGTAGGCATTTATTATATTTTGGTGAGTAAAAAAACGGCTCTAAACTCTGCAAGTCTGAAAAATGTATTTAAGTATTTTAAATTCTTCTATTTCTTCTTCTAGCTTCAGACCCTTCAACGGTACCAAAAAGGTCCCGTGTAGTGGCGGCGTAAGTGAATCCACTATCTCATAACATCCCGTAGGTTATAAGGGGTAACACATTGAAACAGGATATGGAAATAGGAGATGGCCAGCAATATCTTCCTAATAACAACTCAGTAATATAATAAGCAGTTGACAACCAGCCTGCCAAACGCCGCAACTATGGCAATTATGAGGGAATCTATAGGCGAGGCCTATATATGGCAGCGCACTTTTGGTGGGCTATAATGAAAAAACGAAAGAATGAATATTAAAATTTGTGGAAACGTTTTTTATTTATTTTAAAAAAGAAAGTAAAATAAGAGAAAAATAATGGAAAATCTCCTTTATTAAAGAAATCAAAATTAATTTTATTTAGGAAAATTACTTTAATGTTCATAAAATGAACAAGTTCTTTATATTACCTCCTTAGTCCGTATAACTGCTTGGATACTGATTTTCATCTAATTTATTTAATTTGTCTTTTAATTTCAATTTTTGACAGTATCTTGCAAAATAACTTCCTACTCTTATGCATTGCAGTATTTGGTTTATTTAAGGAGCTGCAGTCCTTGCCTCGCCGTTCCTAAATGGGAATTTTCACCTCAGAGAGAAAATCGCGAACAATCAAAGTAGCATGTGTCTTTATTAGGAAGATGCTGCTGCCTATCTCCTGATTTGTTTCCCTCTCTTGCCTCTTGCGACATCCACGGGATGATATGGGGTAGTGGATATTTTTACCCTGTCACTACCGGCATATGATAATAAAACTTCTTAGTTCTGATCAATTGTTGCTGGTGTTTTTGAAGTTAGGTTAGTTGCCACTGGTATTTTTTCCTGTTCAAGAACTGACAGCTTAGTCATTTGATACGTCAGCGAGGTTATGTGGCGATTTCGTAAAGATGAATTGTTCGTCTTGCTAGCTGATAAGTGACTCTCCCTAGCCGTGTGTACTCAACAATGCCACCGTCCTCAGTGTAGTGCCGGTATCGCCTGAAAACTGAAGGCTCTTGTTTAGTTGTGCACCGAAATTTTGGCTTAGACTCTGTTGTAAACTCGAAACTACTTGGGCGGCTTCTTAGGTGTCTAGAATATGTATTCTTTTGTTGGAATTGAAGTGTTGTAGGTGTCAATCGGAGGACTTTTTCATGGGTTGTTGTTTTAAATTATTGTTACGAGCTTGGGGTTTGAGACAATTTAAAACTGCCTAGTGAATTACGAAAATCGACACTTTAATTACAGAACACTAATTACAATTATAATTAATATATAATAATAATAAATTACAATTAATTAAGCGGATGGTTGCGAATTAAATATTAATATCTTTATACTAATTACAATTTTAAACCACACTAATAACAAAATACAATTGTACCATTGTTGATCACTTTAATTCGCAGTTGTATCGCTTCGAAGTATTCGCTTGAATCGTCAATGCAATACTGACTTGGGTCGCGGTCTATACCGGCCGGCAGTTCCGGAACCTTATACTGTAGAAACATCTAGAGTGTTCGAGTACGTACCGACTGACTAGGAGTCGATAATTCTAGAAAGTTCTTTGATAGAAATTTCTAGAATGATCTTCTCCTATTTCTCCTACTCGATACTAGAAGGCGCTAGTGGTAACTAGTGTCGGCATGTACCAGGCATTAATTGTGGCGCGCAACACTGCCCCTTCCTAAGACATGCCCGAGCATTATCGATCCCATAATAACCCGCCAGTCGATTCACATGGACGATCTTAGGAGTATCTCTTGCACTTACACTTTCTGTATCCGGTAGGCTATGTCATTGATCCTTGTCAAAATCCGGTACGGTCCGTCCCATTTACCTTGAAGCTTAGGAGATTTCCCGTTGCTGCGAACTAGATTCTGCAACCACACTAGTGA